CGAATTCTACCTTGCAAGTCTGGCTAGACCAGAGGATGTACACTGGTACAGATAGGAGCTGGAAACACAGGGAATCTAGGGCGGATGATCCCTTCAGGACCAGTGGTATGAGCTGCGATACTGGGAGCGTAGAGGGAAGGTGGGGGGAACCAATTACAAGGATCAACATGTGACCTCCTCCCTGGGGGGCGGACAACAGAAAAGTGGGTGAAGGGAGACGTCAGGCAAGATATGACAAAATAATAATTTATAAATTATCAAGGATTTATGAGGGAGGGGTAAACGGGGAGGGAGGGGGGGAAATGAGGACTTGATGCCAGGGGCTTAAGAGGAGAGGAAATGTTTTGAGAAGGATGGGGGCAGTGAATGTACAAATGTGCTTTACACAATTGATGTATGTATGGATTGTGATGAGTTGCATGAGCCCCTAATGATTAAAAATTAATTATTTTTTTTAGAAAAGAAAGAATAGAAGTTCCTTATACACATCCATAGCAATTCTCACCACAAAGGGAAAATTGACAAATTGGTTTACATTAAAGTGCTGGATTTCTGTTCATCAAAATCACTGAGAGTGAGAAAGTATTGTATACAGAAGATCACATAGATCCAATAAAAGATCTGATATTCAGAAGATGTAAATAAGAAACCAATAATTAAATGGCAAGCAATGTAGTGTAAGGTAGGCAAAAGACCTGAATGAACACTTCATGTTGGAAGATCCAAATGTCCTTGTAAACATGAAATCACTGTGACTACACAGTAGTAAATTGACTGCTAAAAATGTCTGTTTAGTCTTCATTTACGTTTAGAAAAATGATATACATAATTATTAGACATGGTGACTTAATGAAACATTGGCTTAAGTAAAAATAGTCTTTAATTTGTACCCCCCAGGAAATACAATTTTTCTTTAAGCCTCTGTATTCATAATACTGTATATGAAATTCAAGTGGGATTGAAAAGAAGTTGTCAGTGCTCTTGTCTATTAGGTTTTTCTACATTTTGTCTTCTTTGCCATTCTATTTTTATTCTTTCTACCTTGTTCTTTTCCTTATGTTAGGCCACTCATTTGCTTTTAAAAATTAATTAAAAGTAAAACCTGTGGAAATAAGAAGCACCGGAAAACGGAATTTGTATCTAGGACTATATGCATATTTCAAGTGGTGTTAATATGCCAATGACTCTGTGCTCATTTAATGAGAAATAAAAGTAATTTATGGATTAAAAAATATAAAATCTGTGACCTATTTAGTTATAAAAGATGAGAGAGGTGGGAAGCCTTGTGGAGCATCTCAGTGATGTTTATTGGTGGTCAACATGTCCCAGGCAGTACTTTTTTGCCTTTTTATCCTTGGGATCAGTTGTGCAGTTGTTCAGTGACCTCTGGGCAGAATCATCTGAAAACTCGTTTATTTGATAGCACTTAACCGTATATAGGGCAGAGTTCAACTTATCTATCATAAGATCTTTTTTGGAAAATTAAACCTTTAGAAGGCTTTTCTTCTGTGTTGAAGAGGGTAGCTTCATCCCTTTAACACAACTAGAGGGGGGTTTTATCTTCAATGTTAAATCATTAGACTCATACTCAAGTAAGAATGGAGACCCCTTCCTGGTCCAGTAGGCCGGGAATGCCTAGTGTCTAGAGGTTCTCAGCCTGTGGGGTTGGTGACCCCTTTGGGGATCAAATGACCCTTTCACAGGGATCACCCGATTCATAACAGTTATAAAATTACAGTGATGAAATAGCAACGAAAATAATTTTATGATTGGTGGGTCACCACAACATGAGGAACTGTATGAAAGGGTCGTGGCATTAGGAAGGTTGAGAACCACTCCTCTGGAGCATCCCGTCTGTCTCTCTAGAACCACATGCTTTGCTCTTGGATCTGGAACTCAAGACACCTGATCCTCAGGAGAAAGATAAGACAATCTCCTCCCATAAAGATTTACAGCCTTAGAAACCATTTGGAGAGATTTTCCTCCATTTAGCTGCTACAAGTTAAAATCTGGTTGATGGCAGTGGGTTAGTGCAAGAAAAGGCTTGAACCTTTTTCAGTGATGCAGGTGATCTTACTGAAGAATTTATTGCAAGTAGAGAGATTGGTTCACTCATTTCAAAGTGCGGGCAAATTTACATGACATTGAAGTGCAAGGAAGAATTTTCCTTAAGTCTAATATTCCTATCCCAGGGACTTCTTGTACAGTGAATTTCTTTCACATTAAAACTTAAATGTGCAATACAACATTTGTTGTTTTATATACAAAGTCAGGATTTGGCTCTTCAACTGAAAGGAGACCAACTTTTAAACATTTATCTTTAATTTGTTCTCTACTTCAAAATCTCAATAAAATTACTATTGCTTAAAAGTTGAATTGTCAATAAATGAATGTTTTATATCAGATTATTTTGTTTTCCAGGAAAAACATCAGAGAGAGGCTCATTTTCCTTGTATAGCCGAGACACCGGATTACCAGGCTGTCAAGTAAGTGTACTGATTACAAAAGCAGTGGGATAATTTTTTAATGTGTAAGTAAAGGCTTTAATAGTGGAGGAGATAGAACTTTATCTAGTCTCTCACTATTATTTGTTTATTTGTGACTAAATGTGGTAGTTATTTAGCAATTAGACATTTTCTTTTATACTTCACCATCTGCTTAAATTGGTTTCCCTTCTCCAGTTTTCCTGATTGTCTTCTTTAATAATCAATGATTTTCACAACCCACCTTGATTTTAACTGGAAGTAAAAGTAGCAGCTATCTGCGGGTGTCCTTGCGCCCCAGTGGCACAGTGAGAACACTCAGCCACTGTTCTGGAGGTCGGTGATAGGAACCGACCACTGGGAGATCCCTGGGAGAAAGATGTGGCTGTTTGCTTATGAAAATAACATTGACAGCCTTGGAAACCCTATGGGACATCTGTCCTCTGTCTTACAGGTTCACTGTGAGTTGGAATCCACTCAGAGACAACTGCTCTTGATTTATATCCTAAATTGGTAGTTTTATTATTGAAAGTATCTTTATTGCATTCCTGCATCTAAACAACTTGTTAAAGCTTCTCAGGGTCTGACTGTTGCATCACGTTTTGTTTTTTAATGGTATGGAAGTAGTCATGTTATCAGGAAGGGCCAATCCTGGGGAAGGACACAGCATGCTTGATAAAGTAGAATATCATGGAAAAAGAGGATGACCTTCAGTAAGGTGGATTGACACAGTGATTGCAACAGTGAGCTCAGACATAGCATTGTGAGCATGATGTAGGACCAAGCAGTGTTGTGTTCTGCTGTACACAGTTACTGTGAGTTGAAACAGCCACATAACAACAATTACAACAGTAACAGTTTCTTTGTTTATGTTTAGCTATAATTAGAGTGATTTGTAAATGTACACATTATGTTTCTATCTTACTTAGATCTTACTGATTCACAAGAGCCCACTTTAAAATTTTCAGGTTGACATCTGGTAGGAGTTTTTTGCAGGATAAGGGGTTGGTGGAGAGTTCATCATTAATCATTTACCTGCACATCACTCATGACCAATGACAAACTTCAGAGAACCAAGGAGTATCACTGTTTATTCAGATCATAGAGGATCAATAAAAAGCAGTAGTTGAACTTCTTGTCCCTTATAAGGCGATTTTCAAGCTCTTAAGAACCATGGACAATGGTCCTTTTCTGTATTTCTAGCATTGTCTGCTAATAGCAACAGCAATATCTTTTCTTTGGGGCTAGATTGAATCGGTGATTTTAATATTTCTTTAATTTATATCTGGTATTAGAGCTCATTTTCATTTTGATACAAGTTGCTGTCTGAATTTCATAATCTGAATTCTTTAATGATATGAACTGAGAACTCCAGCCATGCCATCTGCATCTCTTTCATTATCACAGTTTGGTAGGTCACTGAACCATCTCTTTTCTTCTGAACCAGTCCTGAGCAAAACAAAATATTTTAAAAGATTCACTGTATTTTGAAAATGAATAGTTGTTAAAAAAAATAACTACCAAGAATCTTATAGATAGTAGGTGTCCTGTGAACCCTGGTGGTATAGGGGTTACAAGTTTGGCTGCGATCTGCGTGGTCAGCAGTTCGAAACCTCCAGCAACTGAGGGAGAAAGACTGGGCTTTTTAACAGTTACAGTCTCAGAAACCCACCACTGGTTGCACTGTGAGCCACAATGGCATGATTTTGGTTTTTGGTAAACTCCCAGTGTGGCGATAAATCATTGAATAGATTTGTCTGCCATCCCGCTTCAAATGTAAGTAGGTTAATCGGGTAAATCTTACACTGTTTCTTTTATAGCATAAGAATGCCTCATAGGACCATACAGGTAAGATTACTATCAGATAGAAGAAAGTGCCACTCTGGGTTCTCAGGTAACAGTAGGTCAGCAAATGTCAGTCAAGGTGGTACAATGGAAGGAACATTAGATTTAGAATCAGAAGACTAGGTTGCAAACCCCCATCACTGCGAACTATCGACCTCATGATCCTAAAGCCCTTGACCTTACCTTCCATCTTTCCTCACTTGAGATACAAGGTGAGGAAGTTTTTCTTCCACCTGCTTTGTAGTTCTCTGCAAGTTAAGCTCCATGCCCTGGTGAAAGTATTTTGAAAAATACAAAATTTAAAATTTTTTCTCAAGTAATATAACTATTTAAAAAAAAACTTCGAATTCTTTTTTTAACAGTTTCATTGGCACTTCATTCACATGTCTTACAATTCAATAATTCAATCATATCAAGAAGAGTTGTACAATCATTATCACAATTTTAGAACACCATTTTCTTTGTACTCATTGTTATTCGTGTAATTATTATTTTTTTAAATTGTAGCAAATATAAACACAATTTATTTTTCAGTTCAGCAGTTTCTACATATGTAATTCAATGCCCAAGTTCATAATATTATTTTTAACAGTCAAAAAAAATTGAAGCAATCGCCTCTGGCTCACACTACTGCTAACTTGAGAAAATAAATATTGTAAGCAAAGCCACATCTAAGAAGTTTTTACACTCATTAATTTTCACTTACATTTTTATACCCCTCTGGCAGAAATGGTACTATTTAGTTAAAAGTTATGTTAACCTCTCTATATATAATTCTCCAGTTTTGCCTGTGTAAATATACACTAGTGCTCATTGTATTCCCGTTTCCAAAAAATTGCTACCTTTTCCTGAGCACCTATTGAGCCAAACACTGTTTTAAGTAAACATGAGTACATTTCATCCTTTCAAAACAACTCAGAAAACAGGGGACCTCCAGATTTGATTATTTGATCAAAGCCATACCATTTAAGTTACAGAACTTTTGTCCATCCATCCATGCTTGTTATTGCTCACTTGCTCTTTGTTTGGTTAAGAACCCACGGCCATCACGTGACTTCCAATGCAGGCCAATCCTACAGGAGTGAGTAGAACTGCCCCGGAGGGTATCCAATGAAGCAAACTGCTAAATCTCCTTCCTGTGTAGACGCTAATGGGTTCCAACCACTGATATTTTTATTTCCAGCCAAGCACGTAACCGCTTTGCCACCAGGGATCCTCTTTGTCAAGGAGGGACTTGGAAATTTATGTTTATTAAGTGCTACAGATAGACGATGCATAGAGAACCTCAGCTCCTCTGTATATACCAATTCTAGGCATTTATTACATTTAAAAAACAATTACTTTTTGACAATTACTTACAACCAATTTTGAAGAAGTAAGGCAGTCCTATGAAAAAACAGAAGAGTTACTAGAATGTATGAAATGATAATAACAATATTACTACATATAAGAAGACTTAAAAGCATTCTTTTTAAAATTCATAGACAATAATACATGAGCCTGCATACCAGTGAAGAGGAGCGAAAACTCTAGGAAAGACAAATTGCATCAAAGAAAAAGGAGGGCTTTTCAAAAAATTGCCCTGAGAAAGGGCCAGTGGCTTTGCTATTTATTATTGTTACATAGCCCAGCTTGTGCTGCAACTGCTTGGAGAAATTGTGATGAATGATACCAGGTGACTTTAGGCCTTAGTAAACTCAGGAAAGCCAGGAGTTAAGGAAGATGTAATATTCACCCAGAGAAAACCCTGTATTCCAAACATTATTTATTATGATGGGTCAGAGAAGAGGAGGAAGGGGGTAGGGTGGGGAAAGGCTGCAACAACGAATTGCCATTTTGTTCTACCTGTTCACAAGTGACAAAATCCATAGCCGCATAATGGAAGTATAAATAGTGACTACATAATTATATCCAAATGCCACCTTGAAATCATTTTTCTTCAGCAGAATCCCCCAAGGAACATTAACTTTGCTATTAATGTACATAAAATGCTGCTGATACACTGTAAAATTCAGGCTAATTTAATAATGCCTGATGGGCCTTACTTCATGTTAAGATGATGTAATAATATGTTGCTAAATGAGTCTCCTCATTACCTTCTCAGTAATCATATAACTGATGAGCCATTAAAAGGAAACTGGTGTAGCAGTATTACTAGAAACGTTGATGAATCATTCTGCAATTTATTTATTTTTTATTTTATTGATCCGACACGTGCATAGAAGCCAGCATCTTTACTAACAATAGGTATAGTTCTTTACAAACTACCATAGTTAAGTGAAAAATCCTTATGTCATTATGACCAAGTCGTTAGGTTTTTTTTAATTCTTTTATTTGGGACTCTTACATCTCTTATCACAATCCATACATTCCTCCAGTGTCTCAAGCACATTTGCACATATGCTGCCATCATCATTTTCAAAGCATTCTCTTCCCACTTGAGCCCCTGATATCTGGTCTCCTTATCTTCCCCCTCCCTCCCCAACCCACTCTCCCTCATGAACCCTTGATCAGTTATAGATTATTTTTTCCATATCTTACATCGTTCTCCATCGCCCCTCCCACGTTTCCATTATTCGTCCCACTGGGGGGGGGGGTTCTGGATTGATTCTTGTGGTCAGTTCCCCCTTTCTCCCCCACCCTCCCCTAATCCTCCTGGTATCTCTACTCTCCATGTTGGCCCTAAGGGGTTTATCTATCCTGATTCCCTGTGGTATGGGCTCTTATCTGTAGCGGTGTTCATGTTCTGGTCTAATCTGATTTGTAAGATAGAATTGAGACCGTGGGGTGAAGGAAGCACCAAAGAACTAGAGGAAAGTTGTGTGTTTCACCTTGGGTATAGTTTTATTCTGGGTCTTAGATGCCTGAGACCTGATCCCGCCGGCTGGTGTGCTTCTTCCATGTGGGCTTTGTTGCTTCTGAGCTAGATGGCCCCTTGTTTATCTTCAAGCCTTTAAGACCCCAGACGCTATATCTTTTGATAGCCGTGCACCATCAGCTTTCTTCACCACATTTGCTTATGCACCCATTTTGTCTTCAAAATCGTGCTGGGAAGGTGAGCATCACAGAATGTCAGATTGTTAGATCAAGGTGTTCTTGTGTTAAGGAAGTACTTGAGTCAAGGCCCAATTTCTATCTGCAACCTTAATTCTTAACAC